TGCTAGTCCTGATTTCACCTTTCCTTGAATTGGCGGGAAAAAACGTATTCTTACTAGTGCTATAAATATAGATGGTGTTATTTTTAACAGCAAATTTGGATAACGTTAAATATTTTCGTAAATCAATGAAAAGGGTGAACGGTCAGGACAGGCACTACTCGTAATTGGCTCATTGGTGACTTAGTACAAGTGTAGCCATCTATGTGTAAAAACAATCCAACAAGTCGACTCACAGTGGGCATGGCATTTACGTACATACCATCCCCGGCGGCAATGGGTTAATACTATTCTTACACCAACATTATTATCATCACAGTCTTGGCAATATATGACTAGTCTAATGAATTTCAGATTGAGAACTTCTTCTGCCTAGGGTCGCCCCTGGCTGTGTTCCTTGCCTTGCGCACAAAGCAGACAGATGGTGAACCACCTGATATCATCCCCCAGAAGCTGTGTAAACGGCTCCTCAACATCTTCCATCCTGCGGACCCTGTGGCCTATAGGTAAGGCTTCCTTGGGGCCATGAAATTTTTGGGGGGGATATATGTGTGTATATATATATATATATATATATATATATATATATATATATATATATATATATATATATATATATATATATATATATATAGTGGATGGCTATTCCTCGCACACAGGATAATTTAAAAGCAAAATGAAACCGACAATATGTCACATCAAGAATATCAATTGTAAGAAATGGAATCAAACTAACTTATTATCATTATTATATATGTATCTGTGTATGTGAATGAATATGTACATATATATATATATATATATATATATATATATATATATATATATATATAAATATATATATATGAATGTACATGTATGTGCATACGTTAATGCAATGCCGATGGGCATGGTATGTATATACATGCCTTGCCTACTGTGAGTTACTTGTTTGATTGTTTTTACACATAGATGGCTACGCTTGTACTAAGTCACCAATGAGCCAATTATGAGTACTGCCTGTCTCGCCCGTTCACCCTTTTCATCGATCTACAAAATATTTAACGTTATCCTAATTTGTTGTTAAAAATAACACCATCTATATTTATAGCTCTAGTAAGAATACGTATTTTCCTGCCAATTCAAGGAAAGGTGAAATCAGGACTAGCAGAGCCATCTATGGACAGAGATATTTAACATAAATATAAAAAATGCGTACAGCATTTTCCCCATTTTTTGTTCATTTTCCCCGGCGGCAATGGGTTAATTAGGAAGGGCATTCAATCAGGCAAGGGTGACACTGCCATATAACCTCTCAATACTGAATTGAGAGAGGCCTATGTCCTGCAGTGGAATGGATGGCTGTTGAAAAAAAAAAAAAAAAAATTATATATATATATACATATATATATATATATATATATATATATATATATATATATATATATATATATATATATATATATATATATGTATATATATACATATATATATATATATATATATATATATATATATATATATATATATATATATATATATATATGTATATATATACATATATATATATATATATATATATATATATATATATATATATATATATATATATATATATGTATATATATATATATATATTTATATATATATATATGTATATATATATATATATATATATATATTTATATACACATATATATATATATATATACATACATACATATATACATACATACATACATATATACATACATACATATATACATATAATGTATACATTTATATGTATATATATAGATAGATAGATATAGATATAGAAATATATGTATATATATTCCATTTCCTTCTACAAGCTTCTGCATTTCTGTTTTTGCCAAGCAGAATCGAGCCTCTCTTGTGCCAGCAATACTCAAGCATTGCACCAGTGGTAATCCACTCATACAATGCTGCTGAGAAGATTCCCTACGGTGACCTCCCCCTTGAACCAATCATCGTTTCTAAGGACAAGGACAAAGACCGAGATGCTTGCGATCGAAATGACTCGGGGAATAACACACCTGTCTCCTCTGTACCGAGCACACCTAGTAAAGGTTAGTGGGAAGGACAGACCCTCTTTTTTATGTTCCTTTTTTTTCAACATAATGTATTTTAACCCAATGGCGCCGGGTGTACAAAACAAAAAAAAAACTCTACGCTTAAACAAACAAAGGCGGCGCACCGACTTTGAGCGCGTGAGTAGGGGACATCAGCCCGAATCACTGGCTCGCTGCTGGCTCGTTTGACTGCATGCCAGCTTTCGAGCTCTTTGTTTACACGCCGATCGGCGTCACCCGGCACCAAGGGGTTAAACCCAGAGCTGCTGGGGATGGCATGCACTTTTTTGCCATGCCCACTGTGGGTTTAATTTGTTAATTATTTTACATGTGATTGGCTCCACAAATATTAAATCACCATTGAGCCATTGATTACTACCTATCTCACCTGCTTACCCTTTTCTTTGATTTTTGTTAGTAATTTCAATAACACTATGAAGAATGTAATATCTATAATAAAAATAGCATCAATATTGATAGCTGTTAGTTATTTCAATAACACTATGATAAATGTAATGTCTAAAATAAAGATAGCATTGATATTGATAGCATTAATTAAAAAAGCATTTTTCCCACAAACTCAAGGTGAGATCACAAGGTCAACTAATTGACTCCTTTGTGGCTAAGGACTGGCAGAGCCATCTATGTGCAGAGCATTTCATAAAACAATACTGCAGTGAATGCAACATTTTTTAGAAGACTTTAGGTTAATAGTGAACTAAGGGATTGTTCACATATGTCAGCAGGTTTTTGGGACTTTTGACCCCCCCCCCCCCTCCCTTGTCAGCATGCGTCAGCTAGAGGTCCCCCCCCCCCATGTGCTGACGTCAGATTTTCCTCACCCCTTGTTAAGTAGAATACACCTATTCAGCTTAAACAATACCATTGAGTTTTCAAAACAAAATGAACGCTGTGCAATTAGTGGAGACAATTTCCTGTAACATCTTGTACTTTCATATGGGTGGGAATCCAGCAAAATGAAGGGGGTGTAAGAATGAAAATACTATGAGTAGCCCATACACCAAGTTCATAATAATTTCTCAAAATAAAATTCTGACACATGCTGACGTAAGTTTATGACCTGACCTCCCCTCCCCCTGATTTTCATGTCAGCATTTGTCAGATTTTCCGTACCCCCCCTGCCCCCCCTAGGCCGCTGACATAATATGTGAACGTTCCCTAATGGGAGTGATTTCTGTGATAATTTCTGTTCACAATATTCAAAGCTTCTTGGATAGGAAATTATTTGCCAAATGGGTGAGGAAAGTACATAAAGTATTTTTCCTTCTCATTTTCCATTTTTCTTCTTTTTTTCAGTTTGCTATATTCCTTTCTGTTTTTGTCAATGAAATTATGAACAATTTACAGTTCTTATTGCTACACATTATTCAATGCTTTGTCTGACAGATATAAGAAGTAGCTATATATAGATTTTTCCCCAATATCTTATGACTGACTTACAGTTACAACTTATGCTTACAATTTCCTGTTACTCTTTGCACATTTTCACAAAGGCAAACTACTTTGTCTAGTAGGAGTGACTAGTGTGTGAAACTTTATTCCAGGTATCCAGGGAATGACTTTCAGTAACTCCTATAAGTTATCATTTTCTGTCTCTCCGGTCTGGTGTCAAGATGCTGTAGCAACTATGCTAAAAAGCATAATCGGTACATCCCAACTGAGTTGAGTCATCGTTGTTAATTTAAACAACGGCCCACCAGAACAAAAAACAGGAGAACAATCCCCAACCATCAATTGCCGTAACTGCCCATTACCCCCAACCCCCTAATCCTTACACACAGGACACACCGGCTTGTTGACCTCAAATTTCTCAAAACCGCTGAGGAGAATGGACGCTTACTACAGCTTTCAGAAAAAATTTAGTATCTGTTAATATTTTTGGAGAGTTTTGCAGTGTTTGCTACTCATCAAAAAGTTAATAACATCTACAATTATCATACGTAAGTATTTTCTGTCTCTTGGCGTTTTTTGTGTTATTTAAGTGAAGTGAAGTGAAGTGAAGTGAAAAGTGTTGTGTTAAACATGTGTTTTTTGTTAGCACAAGTGGCTGGAATGAAAATCTTTTCTAGTGCTTCCAAAGCCGAATGATTCGTGGCGTGCCCTTACTTACGTAACAGGCCCATGATCATTCCGTGCTTCATAAGGTTCGTCAGCCATATAATGCGTGCCCTTACTTACGTAACAGGCCCATGATCATTCCGTGCTTCATAAGGTTCGTCAGCCATATGCAGTGAAACCAGCACACTGTATGATACCGTAACTCTTACAAAGCCGAATGTTTTAATGCGTGCCCTTACTTACGTAATAGGCCCATGATCATTCCGTGCTTCATAAGGTTCATCAGAGCATGCGCAGCGAAACTGGCGTGATGTACGAAACCGTAATTCTTACAAAGCTGAATGTTTCGTGGCGTGCCCATTGACATTAGCTTTCTTTTGAACTATTTTAAGGACCCATAAAAAAAAATAAATGAATAAATAATAATAATAATAATAATAATAATAATAATAATAATAATAATAATAATAATAATAATAATAATAATAATAATAATAATAATAATAATAATAATAATAATAATAATAATAATAAATAAATAAAAATTTATATGCACACGTTCACACAACAAGTTTTTTTCTTAATGTAAATAGAGATAAATAATCATATAATAAAAACTAAGTTATGAAAATTTAAATTTTATTTAAGAAAATGCTAATCTGTTTTTACAGATGGCATCTACTTCAAACCCTAAAACAATTGTTCATGAGAGCAAGTCTGCTTTAGTCTTCTGTGTGGGATCTTGCAGGGAGAAGATCAGATCTATAGCACACGATCATTGCCCTAAACATGCCCCCTGTGCTTCTTCGGGCTGATTTGATCCGCGACAATGTTCTACTTGCCAAAAATGGTTGCAGATTGTACAAATGCAACCTCCAGATGATCCACCATCAAAAGAATGGAAGCTAATCAAGAAACAATATTTAAGAGCAGCTAGGAAGGCAAGAGAGTCTGGATCTGTTCTTCCTTGGGCATCTTCAGAACTTTATAAGCTTTTCATGAATTCAGCCTCACGTGGCCAAAAAGGTGTTGCGATTTCCTCAGAATCTTCTGTTTCTGCTTCACCAATTCCAGTTCAGTCCCAAGATTCACCTATAAAGGCTCTTCATGGAAAGCAATCATCTCGGGACCAAAAGCGAACAAGAATTATTGAGTTACTAACTGAAATGATTGAACTTTCACCTAATTCACGTGAAAGTCCAAAGCATTCATCCTGTCACTCTTTTCCAAAATCATCACAAAGATCGTTTTCAAATTACAGGAAGTCCCTTGTCTTCAATAAGTGAAAAGTCTTTGACCAATCATTCATGCAATTACTCGCCTCCTCAAAAAAGAAGATTTCTATCTTCTGTTTCACAACCACAGAGGCATGATGATAGAGATAGAAATCTTGAATCTGAAAATAGCTCTTCTATTCAGACATCTTGTAATAAATATGTTGCAGAAGAGCCCCTTCAAAATCCAAGCGGAGGTTGGATGAATATTCCAGCTCACTGGCAAGTAGAGCAAAATAATGGAGAAATTGTTGTTTATGATAGAATATTAAGAGAAGGTCAGGAAGAACTTGTTCTTATTGACTATGTGGAAGTCAGAACATTTGAGTACTTGGGAACAGAATGTGTTTTATGGTGACCAAAGAAAGAGTCACCAGAAAATTCAACTGTTCGCGTGCTTCAGCTGCAACTGACATGGCACAAGCATTGTCAGCCATTGCTTCTTTAGTAGCACCACCAGCTCAATCTCCGTTGGTCCATTTTGAGTCAGCTCAGCCTCGATATGCAATACTTCACATTCTGACTCCTCAGATATCACCTTTAATACCTGTGGAAGAATTATGGAATTGGTGGCTTGTACGTGCTACACACACAAATGCTGCTAAATCTAGTTCATCTGCAGGACCTGCGTCATATGGGTGTAGTCTACAGTGGCATATGGATTCTGAACAAATGATGCTCTCTCAGTTTCTCTCTGCTCCAAAAATACCAGACAACAGTTTATTGTTGGCAGATCATTCAGCCCACTTCACCGCTCAACAGTCATGGAATACTTTATCGATTATATCAATACTGGCTAAACTTCTATTACTATCAGCAAAAGCAACTCACCAGAATCCTGGTTTTGATTCTTGGTTGATTCTTAAGAAGGCATCAGAAGTAATGTCCAATCTTGCAACTTTAAGTATTCCACTAGTAAAGTCACAACTGGAAGAAGCAGTGATAAATTTAAATTGGATCTCTTGAGTAACACTCCCTTTCATAGACTACCTTGTGGAGATGAACAAATAGTTTGATCTCTGATTAAAGAGATACCACAACCTGTGGAACTTACGATTCCAAATATTTTTTTCCAATTATCACATCATGCACCTTCAATTTCTAATTTTAAGCTAAGCACTCATTGACTTCACGGGGACGTTTTCAATCCACTTATTCAACAGGGTCTTCCCATAAATTGACTGATCACTCTGGAAGTCTGGAAAGTGCAGCTTCTAAATCAATAAGTTTGTGTTTTCAAAATGATGCAAAAGGTGGAAATGAAAAGTTGTCTTTCAGTAATCGCCGAGGCAATTTCCGAAAGTTTTTTCGTACAGAAAATAAGTGATTCTCAAGTTGGGCCGACTTCTGGGTTGGCAGGAGTCATGGCCCATGGGATGGGCTCAATGGGTCGTTTCCTTGGACCTTCAGTGGCACTGGAGAAAGAGTCGCCCTCCTCCGTTGTGGTTTCTCCACCCTCAGAAATCTTTGGTTTCAATATCAAATAGAAAAGTTGATTGAACAAGTTTATTCAACTATACTGTTTTCGGTTGGTGTCGGTGACTCAAGTACGTCTGACACTGCAACAAGGGGTACATCTTGCTTCAGTCGATTTAAAAGATGCTTATTGGCATATTCCCATACACCCTCGATTCAGACCATTCCTAGGAGTGTCAGTAGGGAAGAAGAATTATCAATGTTGCGTCCTTCCATTTGGGCTGAACATTGCTCCAAGGGTATTTACAAAATTAATGCAAATTGTGTATCTCGGCGATTGGCTCATAATTGGACAGTCACTTGAAGACTGCAAAAGGATGTTAAGCCACACAATAGAGGTGGGTACCTCTATGGGTCTTCTTTTCAATCTACAAAAATCTCACCTCGAACCAACAATGTCACTACAGTGGCTGGGACTGCAGTGGGACACAAGACAAGGAACAGTCACCCTGAGTTCAATCAATCAGAAAAAGTGCTGGAGAAAATTGTTCCAAAATCTATGTTCAGTCAATATATCCCGTCAAGAATGGGAAAGTCTTCTGGGGTCATTAAATCATGCAGCAGAAAAAAATCCTTTTCAGCAGTTTTGATGATCTAAGGTCAACAAGCCGGTGTGTCCTGTGCGTAAGGATTAGGGGGTTGGGGGTAATAGGCAGTTACGGCAATTGATGGTTGGGGATTGTTCTCCTGTTTTTCGTTCTGGTGGGCCGTTGTTTAAATTAACAACGATGACTCAACTCAGTTGGGATGTACTGATTATGCTTTTTAGCGTAGTTGCTACAGCATCTTGACAGATTACAGTTCAGTTAACAGTTATGATTTACAGTTACAGTTTATTTTATGATTTACTATTACAGTAAAGATTTACAGCTACAACTTGTGCACAGGTTCATGCTTCAGTAAAAACAAATTTGTCTATCAGGTGCAGCCAGTACATGGAGCTGGTGGGGTCTTGTAAAAGGCTCGAAGAAGCCTGACTCAGCTAGCCAGGACACCAGCTTAGCCTTACAGGATGTGAGAGGTCAGATGGGTGGTTAAGTACATCCTTCCTTTTATCATAACAAATTATTTGAGATAATAACTTGTTAAATTTACATGATACAATGGCTTCATGAAGTTATTTCATAGAATAACATGAAGCCTGCTTGATTTATATACTCATGGAATTTGATAGAAAGACTTTACTTGGTAAAAGAATTTTAAGAGGCTTACTTAATAGTTACCTAGTAAATTGCTTAAAAGTTAAAGTTAATAGAATAACTACATTTGAAATGTCTTGACACTAATATCTTGCAATGTGTCATTAAATAGATATACATTTTTTCATACTAGTCTCTTCATTTTATTTACATAACCATATACAAAAAATCTAAAAAAAAAAAGAAATATGAATAAGAGTATGAAGTTTCACAACTAATGATACTAGATAAATTTTTTATATAGTTATATATATATATTTTTTACATATTTTGCATCCGGGAATCATACATATTCATTCATATCTTAGGGGGCATTCACCAGTGTGAACTGATTATATTTGGTCATTGTATTTGTTATTGTAGATTGTAATTATTGATATGGCTATGTAAAAAAAAGCAGAGCAAAGAAGACAAAAATGTTAAGAATTGATAATCCCTTACTGTGCACTTTCCTTCTTTGGTTTATAAGCTTATTCTCAGAAACCCAGTACATATCAAGTTAAAGCTCAAAAAGTAATGGAATGCTCAAGCCAGCACTATCTTTAAGGTTACTAGGTATCATGATAAAGCTTGAGAAGGTGTAATAAAGTTCCTCAGGCTTCCCTAACCCCAGAGTGTGTATCACAAACAGGGCTGGCGGATCGCATTGACTTTGTGCTGCGGGAGGGGAGCATGGAAAGCAGCTACATCTCGGCCATCACATCACATACCTCGTACTGGAGCAACTACGATGTGTCTCACTTCTTGCTGAACATCCTGTACCCTGACATCCAGCCAACCTCCAGTAAGCCCGAGGTCATCAAGCCTTAAATGAATCTCCTTACACTGATCCCTCTGTCAGTCAGTTGCTCTAATGCCTAGTGCAGTTTTGACTGTGAGATGGAAGTTAGCCAGTTTTTGCACGACAGCGGGCATGAGTTACAAAAGATCGTAATCAGTGGTGATTTGCATCTAGCCTAGGTATGACGAGTTTTTAATTTTTTTAAGTGTATATTTGTTGGTGTTATTTTTTGTAATGGGCATTAGTCAGCGATCTGTGCAGATGAATAACCATGTGTAAGAAATTGCCTTCCTGTGAAATAAGCTATGGTAAGTGAGGATGGAGATCTGCGCAGATCGAAAACAGTGGTAAGACTGCGATGTTTCCGCCAAAGGGATGCCTCGCAGAGCCAGTGGGAGCATGAGCTGAAGGTGCATGGGGTGGGTGGCACTGGTGCCTACAGCATGTGCAGCTGAAAGTCCTTAGCATATTGTACTGGATATCAGGGTCTTTTTTGCAAAGTTGTATTTGGCATCTTAGGCTGATACTACAGATGATGAGTACATTTTAAATAGCTTTTACAAGCAGACAGAGTGAGATGAGATTAATTTTTTTTTATATATATGTTAAAACTGTGATACAGTCAACCCTCACCATAGGCACAGAAAGGCAAGATTGGTGAAATAGGATTTAGGTGAAGCTAGCACTTTTGCGACTGTGATTTTGATTTTATTGCTATTAATCACTTCATCAGGACATCGATAGAAGCACAACAGAGATAGCTTATTTGATGATAAGCAACTTCTATGAATAATTCAGCTTTGATCTGGTATACATGTAAAAATATTCAATGTTGAGAGTTTAATGTGTGTGTGTTAAGCCTTAAAAAGATTTGACATCAAGTATGTTATGTAGAATTTTGGGACTTGAGATAATATTAAAATATGAAGGATACAGATACATGTATGAAAATACTTAACTGGTTCTTTCTGCTATATTTTGATTTTTTAAAAAGTAGTTGAAGAAGATGCAAACTTCTGTTATATGCAGACACTTTTTCTCTCAATATTTTCCAAATCATATAGAAAATCATAAATGTATATTGGAGGCCTGTTCTATAAATTGTATTTAAATTACAAAAAAACAAAGAACAGGACATATGTAACCCCCTAAAAAAGTCTATTATCAAAAAAAAGTGTTTTTGCTGAAAAAAGAGGCAAGACTGTCAATCTATTATAAGGAGAATAAAGCAAAGCTATGGTGATTACTGATTTTGTAGTATAGTAAGACACTATATTCTGATGCTATTGTGAGGGTTATTGTATTGTATATGGACTAGCCAGTGACATGCCTGCATTTCTAAGAGTTGTGTATATGTTGAAGTGTTATTATATACTGTTTAATGATCTCATGGTTTACTGTCTTACTTTATGATAGTATCACAGATAACAAAAACCTGTCTTCTTTTCTATCTTTTTTTTTTTTATCTTTTGAAGTTCCTTTGCTGAATGTATGAGGCAAAGCATCAAAGTTTTTTGGTAAAGTAAGAGAGGATACATTTTAGCTTTTAGGACATAACTGACAAAGCTGAATGAACTCTTTCATTCTTTCTCTTGCAGCTAAATTTCATCAAATGGTATGCTAATGTATGATGAGGGAGAGACCGGCTCAGTGTAATAGGGAAGTCTGTTTCGCTTTGAGTACTTAAGGGAGAAAGTCCCATCAAGTGTTACAGTGACAGGGAGTCATGATCATGACTATGGGATCAGTGATACACTCTCTGCCATTGCAAACTGAGAGAAGTGTTAACATTATGTGTTAATGATGGTAAACCCTTAAACTGATAGTCTCTGGTCTGTCTGTTTGGTAGTGAATTCCTTACAGTTCTGATTTAAGTTGAAGATATATGTGTGTGTGTGTGTGTGTGTGTGTGTGTGTGTGTGTGTGTGTGTGTGTGTGTGTGTGTGTGTGTGTGTGTGTGTGTGTATGTATGTGTTTGTTTGTTTGTTTGTGTTTTGTGTGTAAGTTTGTGTGTGTGTGTGTGACATGGATATGAGTGCTTGAGTGTATACACATGTATGTCCATGAGTTTCATGTGTTTGTACACATGGCTAAAAAAGTTGATGTGCAAAACTTACTGACTTTTCAGGAAAAAAAGTTTTTGGTAGAATAGAATAAGGAATAGACAATAATACTGTGTTACTGAATTAGATTTATCAAAGAAATACAAAATATCAGTAATTTTAAAATGGTTTCTTTTGATTTATTACTATATAACAAAATAGTTAAGGGAATGAAAACTTACTCTTTCAACAGATGCATATGATTGCTCCATGACACTTAATAGTTCATTCCTGACAAAAAATCCTATATTATTCAGATAATTTGATACTTAATATCTTTATACACAAGTTAGACAGAATAAGTATTGTAGTTTTAATTTTATTGATAGTGCACAATAAAATAGAATGCTTATTAGATCTCAAACCAATATGAAATATGCAATACTTGACCTCTGTTAAGTAATTAACTATCTTCCATAGCAATAATGTTTCATAATATTCCATACATACTCATCAAAAATCAGTAGAGTGGTCAGTTAGTCAATTCAGATTGATAGTTTTATCAAATATTTATGATGAGTAGCTTAAGCATTAATTTTCATAAGCTACTTCCCTTCATAAAGTGTTTAGAAAAATATGCAGTGAAGTAAGGTTGCAAGGTACTACTTTTCTGAGTGAAAGTTATTGTATTTTACACATTCACTTTTTTTATAACTGTACATACATATGTGTGTGCATGTGTTTTTGTGTTGTATTTGTGTGTGTGAGTGTGTGTGTGCGTGTGCGTGTGTGTGTGTGTGTGTGTGTGTGTGTGTGTGTGTGTGTGTGTGTGTGTGTGTGTGTGTGTGTTCAGGCACACATGCACACATGCGCTCAAAATTGGGCATAGCCAGAATTTTAGAAAGGAGAGGCATGTATGGTTGAAAATGGATTTGGCAAGTATATCTTTCAAACAGAGAAGGTCTGTGATTTTCTCTCTTGTACCCTGTGTGACTGAACTGTTTATCTTTGTGTTGCCAGTAACTTATATAAGTCAGTGATGAACTCTTAAGGGGGTCCATGCCTCCATCACCCCTCCTGGCTATGCCACTACTCATGTTATCTTAATGAATGTATGGATGTTTGGAGTTGATTTTTTAGACATTATTTTGGCCATGCATACAGTATGTAGTAAACCAACTTTTGTGTATGCAGTTTGAGTAACTAAAGTTGTACACAAGCTGCAGTTCCTATAAGACAGAGGAATCATTTTTATTAGTATTATCCTTTGATCTTTTGTAAATTGAAAAAAAGTACAATTTGTCAAGATTGGTAATGACATGTAGTTTTCTAGGGATCATCTAGTCATTATTATGTATATAGAAGTAGTTTTATGACACTAGTACTAAAATTGTGAAGGACTTGTAAATGATTTGACAGTGTTCTTAAGGTGACCTGTCTCAGGTATTGAGATAAGTATCAGTATTTCAAAGGCAGAAACAGACAAACAAACAAAAGCAACAAAATTCTTAATTCACTGATGCATTCTGATGTGTGTATACAGGTTTTCTATTTCTGTTTGTTTTCTTTTTTCACCCATA